TTCACTGTTGTGAAGTCGACTATAAATCAAATGCGGGGGGCGGGGTTGCGGGGGGGGGGGGGGGGAGACAGAAGAGTGTACTGCGCTTTTGCATACGGTAAGACAAATTTGGCGTGTTCTGCAACATCACACAATCCGCACGTGTGCGTTTTCGACGTTGTTACTCGTGTTTTATTGCTTACTATCAATCACGTGACTTTTTGGAGTTGACTGGGGGGCAAACACGCGGTTGACTGGGGGGCAACTAGCGGATGCTAAGTCAAAACCTGTCAAAATAAGTCCTCAAACTATTGTATTTGACTATTTAAACGACATCAAACCAGAAAATAAGAGATCAAAACAACCTCCAGGATTCTACAAGCCATCAGAAAAGAGCTATTACCGAAAGTGACGTCTATTGATAGCAACCTATTGTAAACTGGTATTTGTCTAACCTGTATTTCACAATGAGGTGTGTGCAGCCGAGTTATAAAGCACTTGGGAAGTAGTAGGTTTTATCAAATCGGGATATGAACCTTGCGAGACGAAGATGGGATATAAAGACGGGGTTTAATAAAAAAATAAACTTTGATCAAAGTACCAAAAGTTGCGCAGTAACTTGATTCATTTTATCTTGGTAATTAAAACAGTGCCAACCTGATAGAAATGAAAATACTTAGGATGCCGTTTCATAATTTAGATAAAACTGTGACCCCAGCCTTCGACGTTGGCATTTTCTGCATGTACTATTATTTCATTAGGTTTCATTTTCGTTTTAATACGCTTTTATATGCTCACATTTCTTTGGCGTGTTCGTCTTTTTCTTTATGCATATGTTTTCAAAATAAAAGTATTGCTTATTTACAGCAAATAGATGTTAGAATAGAGCTATTTTACTTTTCTTGTTAGCGTCATATTCTGAAAGTAAAGAACCATAGAATAACAATCGATAATTTGCCAACATGGCCTTCTATTGTTCGATGTTCGATTAAGATCGCTATTAATCTGGTCCCTCACTATAAAACATTTGTCCGAAAAGAAAAACGGTCGTTCATTTCGACTGTACATATGTATGTAATTGTGTGTTTTGTGTTTGTTTCCCGGGTATAATTTCGTATAGAAGACACAATAAAGGACACAGCGTAACCTATAATTTTCTTTGTTAGCTTCGTTTTATTGCATAAATCTTTTGTTGTTGTTGTGGCTATTGAATTACGTAAACTGTGTCCTCTTTACGAAGATAAAACCGAATTCCCATGTGATAATAAATCAGTAATATTCATAGCTGTCGTTTGCAAACTGAAAATTGTATTTGCATTGCTATCTAGTTTTGTAGATTAGT